AGAGGCATGGAGGAGTGGCCTGGTTGCAAGGCTGTGGTTCTTTGTGCAAGATCATCAGGACTTTTGTGCAAGGCTGTGGTTTGGAGAGTCTTTGGTGACAGTTATTGTCATCAAATAAATATACACAATGATCTCCTTCATGGATGTCTTCACTTGGATGAATCCATCAGAACAGATACTGAATTTGAACCCTTGTTGTGCAAGAGGACCAGGTGAGACCTTGAAGTATGATGGTCCTGGGCCTATGCCTGTAATGCCAGCTACTAAGGAAGCTGAGGCAGGAGGATAGCAAGTTCAAGTCCTGCCTGAGTTACAGAGTGAGTTCAAGGCCAACCTGGGCAATTTAGCAAGACCCAGTCTCTAAATAAAACAGTGAAGAGAAGGTTGGAGAGCTGAATGGCAGGGTGCCTGGTTAGCATTCTTGAGGCCTTGGGTTCAATCACCAGGACTGCTGAGAGAAGGGGGTGGGCATTAGGACATAGATTACTAGATAAATGGGTCATCTCAAGAACAGGTATGCTGGGAGCTGGATGTGGTGGCACACAGCTTTAATCCCACCACTTGGGAGGCAGAGGCAGATAGAGCTTTGAGTTTGAGACTAGCCTAGTCTACAGAGTGAGTTTCATGTTAGCCAGGGCTACCCAGAGAAACAAGTCTCATAAAAAAAAAAAAAAAAAAAAAGGATGGGTTGGAGAGATGGCTCAGTGGTTAAGAGCACTGGTTGCTCTTCCAGAAGTCCTGAGTTCAATTCCCAGCAACCACATGGTGGCTCACAATCATCTGTAATGAGATCTGGTGCTCTCTTAGGTCATGAAGATGTACAGGAAGCCAGAACACTCACACACATAAATAAATAAATCTTTAAAAAAAAAAAAAAAAAGAGTAGGTCTGATGGGCCAGTGAGACAGTTCAGTGGCTAAGGGCCCTTGCTGTCAAGGCTGACAGTGTGAATTCACTCCCTGAAACTCTTATGGTAGAAGGAGAGAACTGACTCCTACCAAACTGTCATTGGGTCTCCACATACACACCTTGACACACCTTGGTATGCGAGCGAGCGCGCACGCACGCACATACTCACACACACAAAGAAATACATACATATAATTAATTTAAAAGGCACGAGTCTGTTAAAAATGCCGCTCAGTGTCTGCTTTGCATCCCTCTCCCTATCAGAAGCCCTATCCTGCCTGTAGACTCTGCAGAGCCTCCATCAGCAGCAAGAAGGCTCTTACCCAGAGCAGCTTCCTAACTTGGCCCTCTCAGACTTCAAAACATTCAGCCAAGTAAACCTCTTTTTCCTATAAACTTCCCAGTCTCCAGTATTTTCACTTGATCTTAGCCAAAGGTCAAGAAACAACAGAAAGTAGACTAAGACAATGACCCCTGGACTCTGTTAGGGCTTGACTTGAATGACTCCATTTTGATCTGACACCTTCCTGTTACACACACACACACACACACACACACACACACACACACAC